TTCAGGGAGGCCGCTGCCTTGGCTGGGCAGAGGGGTGCCTGGACGGTGCTCCTAGTGTTCCCGGGGCTCTGCAGGGCTGCCCCTTTGGCTGCTTGTCAAGACCTAGGAACCAAGTTCCCAGGAGATCAGAGCCTTAGACCAGGGCCATCAGTGTCGGCAGGCAGCACACAGGCCCCAGGGGGACCGAGTTCCAGGCCCCACCAGGGGACCTGGTCTGGGTGGTGGGAAATCAGCAGTGGCTGCAACAGACCTGGGCCTCCTGACCGGGAGCGGGCAGGTCTCTTTCTTGGATCGAAACCTCAGAAACACGGTTCCCCGAGAACGGGAACTTCCACTCCTGCACCACCCAGGGCACAACTGCACCATTTAGGGGTGACATCGCCCACCGCGTGTCCCCTGGTTGGAAATGAGCAAAGGCAGCCCCAGCTGAGCCTCCCTGACCGCTCCCTGAATTTGGCCAAAGCAGTGACGCTGGGTGGTGGTGACAAAGACCACAGAGGACAGTCGGGATGGAAGCTCCGCAGGGGAACGTGTTCCTGAGGTTTGGGCAGCTGGAGGTCTCCCAGGGGCCAGTGATATTTAAGCCCCACTGACTGGCGGATTCCCTCAGTGACAAGTGACAGAGGGAACCCGGTGGCTCAGCCAGCAGGGCATCCAGAGGCTCTGGCCCAGTGCTTGGGCTTCAGGCAGAGCTGGGTCTGGTGATCTGATGCTGCCCCTGGGTCTGGCTGGCCTCGGGGTGTCCCCCACCCACTGTGGAGGCCCCACTGCGGGGCTGGTGGCCCTAGCTGTCCACTGGTGTCTCTGCTGTTGGACTGTCCACGGGTCTCCAGCTTCTCACCCTCAGGCTCAAATCCAGGGATAAGAGCAGATCCCACGAAGTCCTGAGGGCCACCTGATGGGCCAGCGTAGGTCCCTCTGTCCACAGAGCCAGCAGGACCTAGGCCAGGTGTGCTGGCCGGGCCAGGCCTGCCTTGTACCCGCGGCTCCCCACCTGGGCCCGGGTCCTGACTCAGCTCAAATCCATGGACTGAGGGGGGTCAAGGGGATTGTCCCCAGTGACAATCGAGTTCTGTCCCACGAAGGGGAGGTGGACGCTGGAGGAGGCCACAGGCTTTCTTTCTCCAGAGGGCCTGTGCAGGCTGACCAGACTGAGGGGCAAATACCTTGAAGGAAGCAGATGGTTGGTGCAGGAGTTTCTCAACTCTGGCTTTAGCTTTTAAGGCTTCCGGTGCCCTGGAGTTTGTACCTGGGAAGTGGTTTCTGGTCTGTGGCAGTTACATTCGGTCTTTGCCCTAGAACTAATGAGTGTGGTGATCCTGGCTCTATGGAAACCGGTGGGTGAGTGGCCTTCAGGACCTGGGTGATCAAGGGCAGGGTGAGGATGCTTTTCCCAGACAGGACTGGGCTCAACTCCAAGCCACAGAAGGCCAGGACCCACAGCCTGACGGAAAGGCCATTTGCCTTGTTCCAGACAATAGGGGCAGGGCAGGTGCAGGGGACCCTTGATGCCACCCGGGGCCTGGCTCTGCTGTCTCTGCCGCCCTCCTGAACCTCCTCGTCACTGGTGGGGTCTCCTGCGGTGGCTGGTGCTGCACTTGTCTGTCTCTGGCAGGAGAAGAGGAAGGGGCAGGGAGAGAAGGCAGAGGCTTGGACAGAAGCTGTCTTCCCAGAATCCCCAGAAGACATCCGCGTCAACCCCACTGGCTAGAACCACGCCATGTGGGCCCGGTGGCCAGGAGGCTGGGCCCAGGAGTAAGGAACACATGGGGCAGACAGCAGGCGGGGTCCACCTCGGTGCAGTCAGGGGGCTGAAGGGTGTGGGTGCAGCCGTCTCCATCAGAGGAGAGCACGCACCTGCCCACAGTTCAGCTTTGATTGAGGGAGGCCACTGAACCACAGGGTTCCTGCAGGGTCCCCCCGGGCCTGGCTACCCCAAGCAGCCACGGTGAGCTCCAAGTGCAGCAGAGGCCCTGCCCGCCACCTCTCGCAGGCTGAGGTGGCTGCTTTTCTGTGCCCCCACTGATCACCAGCTCCAGGTGCCTTGGCCCACGAAGCCTCAGCGGCCTCCGTCTGTGGACAGCCGAGGCATAAAAGCTCCACATGGCCAGGGCTCCTGTCACCATCTTGTGGCCGCTCCAGGCTGGATGTGGTCCCAGAGATAAATGACAGCTCTTTAGAGTCCATAGTGGCCATTATTTCTGCTTGAAGACTCCCAGACCCTCACTGGAGGCCCAGGTGACAGGCCCGGCTGTTGTGCTCAGCCCTTCGTACAATCTCGTGGCTGGTGACTTTTGCAATGAGCAAGCTGTCGCTTAGTCGGGGCACAGGAACATCAGATGGAGCATCCCTGCCCCTCACGGAGGACATGGCCCGGGGTCAGAAGGATGGTGACATTCGCAGCCCCAGGCTCAGGCCCCAGGCAAGGCCCTGCTGTGTGGGCAGGTGGAGGAGCCAGCACCAGGTGCAGTGTCCCCACCTGCCCAGCAGCCCTGAGCCCCCCGGCACAGCGACACCCCACTGTGGGTCCTTCAGCCAGAGGGATGTCGGGAAGCCGTGGGCCCCATCCAGCAGCTACAGGACCTGCCCCTGTCCCCGCCCCCTCCCGCCTCTGCCACTGGATCCCAGGTCTGGGTGACGTTTCTGCAGCGCAGGGTCCCGGCTGATGCACAGATGTCTTTTTCTGGCCCCGTGGTGTTTGGTGGCTAAGTCTCTAATGTCCTTTGGTTGACAGGGACTCTGCCCCTCCCCAGCGTCACCTCACTTTTCAGGTGGTTGCTGCTGAGTTCCTGGGAGGAGGTGCCCTGCAGGAGGACCTGCATTCCGGAATTGTCCCTCTGCGGCTCATGACATCACTTTTAATGGCCTCCACCTGGAAAGACAGGTGCATGCCACTGAGCGACCTTGGGGGGCGAAGGTCCATCACGGCAGGCTGGGCTTTGGGACCTGGGCTTGAAGCTGCTGCTCTGCCCATTCCTTAAAGGTCCTTTGGTGTCGGGTCACTATAATCAGGTGCCCAGCCTTCCCCAGGTGACATGTAAATGTGGCCTTATAGCCCCACAGCAGGGCCACGTCAGCACGTTGAAAAACCCTCACATCCCAGATGGGGTGGGGACCTGGCCATCCATGGCGCCTCCGCCTCCCCTACACTGGCCCAGCCCAGTGCCACCTCAGGGACTTTGTACCTGCTGAGCCCTGCCTGGCATGCCGAGGGCCTTGGCCTGGCTGGAATCTTCTAGTGTCCAGGCCCAGCTTATGTCTCTCCTCAGAGAGGCCATGCCTGAGCCCCTCCAGAGTGGCCTCTACTCCCTGCCTTCCTTCAATCCCCATGTCATTTCCTAAGGAGCGGCTTTGCCTCTTTATTGCGTAAGAGAATAAACCCCAAGTGCCTGTAGACAACCTTTCCCAGGGAGTCCGTTATTGGGTGGGGGGCGTCTGATCATGGGGACCTGGTCTGTGACCTTGACTTCCATCCCAATATGACAAGTGAAAAGAAAGATGCTGTGGATTTAACTGGAAAGTGGCCTCTCTGTGACGGTCTCCATTTCCTGATCAGGCGGGGGGAGCAGAGACCCCTGTTATAAATGGCAGGAGGTGGCCTGGCCCTCGGGGGCACCAGGCCCACTCGCTGGCCCTCAGGGTCATGGGACCCTGTGCTGCTCCTCTCTCCTCTTTGGCTGGACTCCACGGAGCCTGGAAAGACCCTTCTTCCCCCTGAGCCAGTGGCCGCCTTGCTCCACCCCCCACCCCCCACCCCCCGGGGGGTGTTGGAGGCCTTCAGGGTGTCTGTTTCCCAGAACCACCTCAGCCCCTAGGAGAGAGGGGACAGACTCCCCAGATCCAGAGGGACCTGCCCGGGGAGGGAGCTCCGAGCCCCAGAGAGAAGAGGCTGCCCTCCTGCTGGCCCCGCCCGCGTCTGCACTCGCCTCCACGGGGCCTGTCGGTGGCCTTTCTGAACAATGCTGTCTCTGGAGAGACAGGAATCCACCTGCAGCTGCCTCTACGGGGAAGGTTCCAGAAGCAGGTGTCGCGGGTTCTCCCGCCCCTGTCCTGGGAGATCTTGGCCCTCAGGGCCAGCCCCGGGCTCTCGACCCTCCAGGATGAAGCCCCACTGCGGGATACTCCGGGGTCAGGCCTCCTCCAGGTCGGCCCCACAGGACCCCGTGGAGGTGGACCCAGAGCCTCCAGCCCCTCAGGCCGACCCCCTCCCTGTGCACCCAGCCATGCTGGGCCTCACCCGGGCCTGCTGCTGCCCCTCCTGTCCCCTTGTCCCTGCCAGGGCCAGGCCACCTCCTGCCATTTATAACAGGGGTCTCTGCTCCCCCAGCCTGATCAGGAAATGGAGACCGTCACAGAGAGGCCACTTTGCAGTTAAATCCACAGCATCTTTCTTTTCACTTGTCATATTGGGATGGAAGTCAAGGAAACCTGGCCCAGGTCCTCCCTCGTCCTGACCCCCATGCCCCAGGCCCTGAGGCCCCAGGGACCCCACGTCTCTCTGCCCTCTGGCCCCTCCTCACCTCCTGACCCCCTGGTCCCCTTCCTCACTCCCTAGACCCTCCCCCCTCCACTCCTCCCTGCAGCAGGAGCACCCTTGGGTGTACACACACACACACACACACACTCTCACACACGCACACTCACATTCATTCACACACACATTCATTCACACACTCACACTCTCATACACATTCACACACACATTCACTCACACACACACACACTCTCACACACGCACACTCACATTCATTCACACACATTCATTCACACACTCACACTCTCATACACATTCACACACACATTCACTCACACACTCACACACTCACATTCACACACTGTCTCACACACACTCACAACTCTCTCACATACACATTCACACACTCACACACACTCACACACTCACTTCCTTGCTCACTGCTTCTGGTCTAGAACAAGCCCCAGGCCCCGAGAGCTCTGTCTGGGCTTCCCTGTGACCTGGTGTGAACTTGTGGCAGCCCTGGAAGGGGAAGTGCCTGTCCGGCCACTGTGGCCACACCCAGCAGCAGGCCCCTGTGTGGGCAGCACCCGTGGGTGACCAGCTCAGGATTGGGACCCTCTGCCCAGCGTGGGCTCCACTTGTCCTTGCTGACTGGGGAGAGTGAAGGGTGAGGGGACCTAAGACCAGGGTCCTCATGTCACTGGACCCTGGCCTTCTGTACAGGCCGTGGGGAGCCCAGGGTGCTTCTGCTCGAGCGCAGCTCCCAGGCCTCCCTGTGAGTGAGGCCCCAGTGCACTGAGGTCAGCTGCTGGGCCTGCGACGTGGGCGCTGGGAGAGGACTGAGCCTGAGACGGAAGGGAGTGGCACCTGCAGCGGCCTTCGGGAGGGGGCTGTTAAAGCCCAGGAATCCTGGAGCCGTGGCTGGGAGCTCAGCTCCTGCCGCATCCTGAGTGCCTTTGGGTCCCTGCAGGTGAGCACCCCGAGGGAGCAGTCTCAGATCAAATGTCCCCTTTTGAGAGAACTTAGCAGCATGGAGGAAGATTCCAAATGCCCATCCAGGTGAGTGACCTCGCAGGAAGTGACTTTCCCAGGTGAGTGACCTCTCAGGAAGTGACTTCCAGGTGAGTGACCTCTTAGGAAATAGCCTCTCAGGTAAGTGACTTTCCCGGTTGTGGCCTTTCAGGTAAGTTGCCTCCCTAGCCTCTCAGGGAAGTGGCCTCTCTGGGTAAGTGACAGTCAGGTGCAGTGTCCCCAGGGGGTGCCCTCCCAGGGTCCCAGGTGCCTGCTGGAGCAGGGATGGGCACACAGGTCTCCCTGCTTCCAAAGCTCCCGGTCATAACCCACGCAGCTGCTGTGACGGCGCCCGGGGGCTTCACTAGGAATCTTCCGTGAAGTCAGTTCTCCACCGAGGGCTTGTGAGAAATAGTGGGAGGGGGTCCCTGTCCTAGAGGGCCTGGCCGTGGACTCTGCTCTTGCCCCACGCTGTCCCCACTGAGGTGAGAACCGAGTGCTCTCAGAGTCCCTCTGCAGAGGCCGGCGCGTGGCACAGTGACCTAGATCTCAGCACTGTCCCCAGCTGCACACGGGACTTCTGCTGTCAGAGCCTCGCTCGGGCTCCGCTACCCCTCTGGACAGCGTCGGCCAGGCGAGTGGTGACCTCTTCTCCCAGCTGGCCCTGTGGCCATGGGCAGGGGAGGTCCTGGAGGCAGAGCCCTCCGAGACCAGCAAACTGCCCACCGGGGTCAGCAGGGGCAGCAGGAGGGCTTGTTCCTGTCACCGTCGTAGGCACCAAGATCGGCCTGTGTGAGGCTGGCTCTTTCGGGATGGCACTGCCTGGTGTCAGATGTCTCAATCAGGAGAACTGAAGGTCCTGCTCCTTTACTCTGGAATCAACATGGCATGAAATTTATGTTTTAATTAAATTAATTCTCGTGACATGGCGACACCTAAGTGAATTCCCCTGTTAGAAAACCAAGACCTGATGGAGGAGCCCGGGTCTTTTTGTCCCTGCCCCAGGCGGCCACTGCTCACCTGGGGTGGCTGCTGGGCAGAGTGAGGGCCCTCTCTGGGGCTTTTCCTATGCCAGGGCCTGATGGCTACTCGGAAAGGCACAAGTGCTTGTCCAGTGCCCACTGTGTGCCCACAGGGCCCCCCTGGAGCACAGCCGGGGTGAGGGGAGGGGAGACAGCTCCACACAGCGAGGGGGGATGGGGGACCTGGAGCGCGGGAGGTCAGGGAGGGCTTCCTGGGGAGGCGGTGGAGTTGGAGCAGAGGGCAGAGGTCACGGGGTGACGTGGAGAGCAGTGGTCCTGCAGGGGTTGGGAGGGGAGGAGGCCTGAGGCAGGCCTCCACCCCTCGCCTGGCCTCCACCCCTCCTCTGGCCTCCTCCCTGGCCTCCCTGCTCCTGTTTCCTTACACCCCAACCTGTCCTCAGGACCAGGTCCTGTCTCTGCCCAAAATCTCCGGTGGTTCCCATTACCCCCAGAGTAAAAGCCAAATCGTCACGGGATACCGAAGCCTCAGATGACCATCTCTCTACCCCTCCCTGTGGTCACCTGTCACCCCTCTGGTGTCATCGCCCTGCATTCTCCTTGACCACTGGGCTCCAGCCACACACTCATCACTCCTCTCCTCTCAGGCCTGTTCCCTCTGCCTGTAGCCCTCTGTTCCCCACCGCTTCCTCCAAATCCCAGGCAGTCCCTCGCCTCCGTCTCCCCGCCAGGTCTCGCTGGGCAGCCTGGGCACGACTCCGATGGGTGCCGCTGTCACTCAACAGCGCCCCTCTGCCTGCATTGGTTGTGGTACCTCCTCACCTTTGATCTGTAGCCCTCTGTGACAAGTGAGGTCCAGGAGGGCTGGGGCCAGCTGCTGTGCTCATAGCCACGTCCTGTGTCCAGCACAGAGGGACCATGAGTCCGTACCAGGTGCATGCTGGGACACTGAACAGGGAGGAAACCAGAGCCTGCTCTCAGCAGACAAGCCTGCCGCCCAGGGGCACAGAGGGCCTGGGGCCTGGGGCCTGAGACGGCCTGAGCCCTTCTGCACTGTGTCCGTGGTATTAAAATTTCATGGGAAGAGACAAGTAAGAAAAAGTAGTCTAAAAATGTTCCTTGGGAGTGACGAAGAAACAAATGTGGAGGAACACGGAGGAGGGAAATCAGCTGAAACCACAGCCTGGGTCCCCGCATGAGCCTGGGTCCCCTCGTGGGCAGCCTGAGACCCGTAATCAAGATCTGTAACGTGTGTAAAGGGCCATTTATCCTGGTGGAGGGGAGAATAAAAGAAACGCCTCATTGCTTTGAGGAAACATTTTTTTTACTCCTGCCAAGGGACAGACTCACAAAGGATGGTATTTACATTTTCCTGAAGCCTCTAATTTTCTCATTTATCACTTGTCAGAGCCCGAGGCCCTTCCTCAGCGCCTGGAATGTTTGCAAACATCTAATGATGCCTTTACCCAACAGCCAGCCTCTGCGAGGAGCCTGCTCCTGGGGCTGAAGCTGCTGATTTAGTGCATTAATGTCACTCGGCGCCATCTCACAGGGGTCTCAGGGCCACCGTGGGCTCTCAGCTCTTGGGCCCTGTGTCCCCAGGTGCTCTAAGACGAGGAACCATGGAAACCATCCCAGCTGCCGGTCAGTGGGGAGACGGCAGAGCACCAGGGGACAAGGCCTCGGGAGCCGGGCCAAGGTCAGGGGCCTGTCCCAGGCTGGCTGGACTTGCCCAGAGGGGAGCTGCCAGGAGGGGACAGCGGCCAGGCTATGGGCCCTGGAGAGGCCGAGGCCTGGGGACCCCACGGTGCTGGGACTCACTCTCCTTCCCCCTCCATCAGCTCCTCAGCTGCCCCCTGCCCTCCCATGATGACCAACACCGGTCACCAGGTGGCCTCAGTCCAGACCAGGACAGGGACCCCCCAGGGCTGACCTTCAGGGAGCGTCTGGTCCTGCTGAGTCCTTGGTTCTGGTGACAAAGGGACACTGAGAGAAGCCAGGTGCTCTCTGGATCCTCCGTCACAAACCAGCTTAGATGCCACACATGGATGTCACCACCGGAACCTCAGAAATAACCTTGTAAGTTGTCACACGCTCAGGAGTGCGGGCTCTTTAGAGACTGAACCAGCTCGTGATTGGGGTCCCTGAAAGGCAAAGGGGTCGGGGACATTTCCCTTGTTCAACAGCATCCCCCACTGCTCTGGGGGAGCTTGAAGACGTTTGCTCTCCTGCGGGAGGGGCGGGGACGCGTCCTCTGGAACAGACTGGGAGGCGGGTGGCCACTGCCACGGTGGAGCCCCCGAGGGCCACCCCCCAGGCCTGCTGAGGGTACGGTGGGGGAGGCTCTGGGGACACTTCAGGGCAGGCCGAGGAGGGGACGGAGGAGAGGAAGGGGGACACTCCACAGGCCACCCTTAAAACTAGCTCAAGACGTCCCAGTCAGGCCGTTTCCCACCTTCTACCAGATCATTCTGAAGCCACTCGTCTGGTCTCCCCCAGCCCTCCCCCACACCCATGTGGCATTAGCCGCCATCCCTGGGCTCCTGTGGGCCCTGCTACGGTGCCTGTCTGGCCGTGCTGACCCCCAGGGGATCCATTGCCGCGAGTCATCTTTCCGGGTCTGTGACGTGGCCCTTCGGCACCTGGCCCTTGGCGGGAGGATCCGCGGTGCAGAGAGAGGCCAGGTGCAGGGTCCCGGCAGCAGCAGGCCTGGCTTTGTCCCTCCTGCAGGGTTTCCGTGACCACCATTTCCAGGCCCGCGAGCCCCTGGCCGGGCCTGGTTTGCTCCTTTCCTCTCCCAGCCCCGGGGCCTGCGGTTCTCCTCCTCTGGCCAGAATTTGAAGGGACTCCTCCCCGAGGGACGACGGTGGCCCCATGGGGGCTCCCACTGGGACCCTTCTGCTCCTGCATTGTCTCACATGGTTCTGACGAGGGCAGGGGACATGGCGGCCATCGCTCCCGCCTCACCCAGGAGGAAGCAGGGTGCAGGAGCCTGGCCAAGGCCACACGCGGGTGGGTGGGAGTCATGCTCCAGGGGCGCCGTGCTCCAGCAGCTGGGGGCCGAGGTGGGTGGGGGCCAGCTCCAGGCCGTGGGCCACTTGGCCAGACGCTGTCTCAAAAACAGAACAAACGCAAGTGAACAGACTTGGCAGATTCAGGCGTGAGGTTGGCGTGAGGGACGGTCAGTCCCAGCCAAAGCGAAGGTCCCCGTCCAGGCCTCTGGGGACTGATCCCTTTCTTCCCACCTGTTCTCCGTAGGCAGTGAGTCCTGGGTCCTTGAACTCAGGGAGGGTTGGCCTGGTTGCAGAGGGACTGTCCCTCTCTCCCACTGCTGGAGATGCCCACGTCACTCATCACCACGTGACGCTGCGTCTGGTCTGCTTCTGGGCTCCCTGTTCCTCCTCTGGGCTGGACTTCCTGTGCACATCCTGGAATTCTTCAGGAACTTGGGAAGCTCTGAGCACCCCAACAAGCCCCAGGGGCGTGGGTGCTCAGGAATGACCCCTGGCCCTAGCAGGAAGTGGGCATTTGTGGAGGCCAAAGGCCAGGGCAGGTCTGAGTGGGGCCTGGGGAACAATGGAAGGTCTGTGTGGGCTGCTGGGTGGGGGCGGGGGGGCTTCACGACGGGGTCTGCGTGCATCGCAGGCCACAGTGGGCAGATTCAGCCAGTGACCTAGAGGTCAGGGCCAGCCTGGCGGAGCAGGCCCTAGGATAAAGGTCTCCAGCAGGAGGCCACCAGCCTGGCTGCCCTGGGAGCAGGGCCTGACTCAGGCCAGGGCACCTGGGAGGTTCGGGGCGGGCCTCCACGTCAGCAGGAGACTCGGGGGAGGAGGCCGTGTTTCCTGCCCTGCGGGTCCATCACGTGTGATTTCCCGAGAGGAAGTTGGTGCCTGGGACCCCCTCACTGCCATGGCCTTGCCATTCCCAGGTCCCTCACATTGTCACCTTTCCCAAGAGGATGTGGGCGTGGCTGGCCAGGGACGGGTCCTCATGGATCTATAAGGAGGCCTGGGGGGCTCAGTGCCCTGAGCTGTTGTTCCCCCGAGGGACACCGTCAGAGACACGCAGGTACAGCCCTGCATTTTCTCTAAACCAAACCAACTTAAGGAAATTCATCACGTGGCACCAGCCCCTGTGCCCTCGTCTGTCACCCCCATGAAACCACAGGCTTCATTTCTCCCCACTGCACATTCCAGTCACAAGCAACCATTAAAACAGAAACTCTGCTCCCCACGCGCATTGGTGTGTAGAGCCACCAGCTTCTGCAGACCCCGGAACCCCTGGAGGAAGGGGACAGAGCCGGGTGTGCGGGTCCAGTGACAGGCAGATGCTCCTGTGCAGAGCCCAGGGCTGGGGCGTGGATGCGCTTTCTCTTATTCAGCCTCATTTCCCCCAGAGTTTGTAAGGCCCTTGTTCTTTTTCTTGCAGAATTTGCTGACAGATACTTGGTTATTCCCAAACCCTCCACCATTACACCCCTTCCTGTGTTTCTGGAGCTGTTTTGACCATGACTCGTTTTAAGGAATATATTGGCAGTGGACACAGTGCACACACACGCGCGCACACATGCACACACGCACACACGCACACACATGCACACACGCACACACATGTGCACACAACTTACGAATCTAGATTTCACAGAACGTGGTCTCCCTTAACCTCGAATGATGCCCTCTGACGTTTTCCATTCAATGATGCTATTCCATGCTGCTGGCTGCTGGCTGCTGCGCTGACTACTTAGTGGCGAAGCTGGAGTGTCCCCAGGCCCGGGTCCCCAGGCCTCCCTGCAGCTCTGCCTCGGGGCTCTCCTGGACCCTCTGGTCCCGTCTGGAGACTGCTTGGCTCCTCTCCTGGGCTGGTCAAGTTTTGCTGGTCTCACGCTTCCCCCTTCATTCTCGTTCTGATTTACGGGAGTCACTTCCAATTCACTTACTTTCACTGAAGAAAACAGTATTTTCAGTGACTCTGCAGGAGCATTTTCTCCATTTCCCAGAAAATCAAAAGTGGAAGAAATAAACAGAGGGAAGATGGCAGGGAGCCCTGGAGCGAGGACCAGGCACGGTCTGCTTCTGCACGGGGCCAGCGACGCCCCGATGGAGTCAGGTCCCACTGGCACAGCTCTGGCACCACCCAGAGGTGGGAGGGAATGTCCCCTGTGGCTCTACCTAGTGACAGGTCAAGCAGGATGAGTCTATTTGGGGCCTTCCTGGCACTATAAGAGGTTTAGCAGCATCCTTGACCCCTACCTCCTGGACGCCAGCAGCACCCCCACCCCAAGGGTTGTGACAACTAAATCTGTCTCCAGATATTGACAATGTCCCCTAGGGGGCTGGTTGTCCCTGGAGGAAGCACTCTCTCCAGGACTGACCCAGCCTGTGCCTACGTTTCTGGCAGCATCACGGCTGATTGATCAAGTGTCGGTGGCGCTCCAGCTGGTCGATTGCACCCCGGAGCCGCCAGGCTGGAGCGCGATCACCTGACACCTGTGATTTGCCGTCTTCTTCCCGTGAGACACAGAACCGAGCCCTGCGGCCCAGCAGGCTCAGGCCTGTTCCAGGTCACTCTCCTCAGAGTCAATGTCACTGCCGAGGGCAGGTCTCTGCCGCCTCTGAGCTGCTCAAGACACTGACACTCAGGACTGGCTTCGCAGCCACTGAACAGAGTCCCCTGAACATTAGGCTGAGCCCCCTCTGGGTTCCCAAGCTGCCGGTACCAGGAACACTGGCTGCCCCGGGGCCACACTGCCGTCCCCCTCTGCATCGGCATCTCAGTTCTGGAAACAGTCACCACAGATGCTGTTGGGACAACTGACTGACCAGGACAGGCCACTGGATTGAGACCAGAGTCACGATGGGAGTCTGAAATCCACTGAAGCATTCGCTCTGCGATGGCAGGAGCCCTTCCCAAACCGCCTCCTGAGGTCGGGCTTGGAACAGGGCTCTGCTCACGAGCTGCTGTCAGTCACAGAGCAGGCCCCGAGAGGCCACCTCCCTTCAACTGGGCCACCAACTAAGCCTGGGGACCACTAGCCAGAGGCAGGTGCATTCTCTCCAGTGACAGGAATCGTAACATGGCCAACCCAGCCCAGGGTCGAGGGTGGGATCAGCAGCAACGACACAGACAGGCTCAGAGCTGGGCAGCCAGGCCGTGTCCTCCTCCTGAGACCTGCGTCTGCTCCCCGATGCCCGCCCCCTCCCGCCCCTCACTGTTCCCCCTGGAAACGGTTTCCCTGGGAGCCGCTGAGCCTGGCTGCATCCTTCACAGAGCCCCCTGCAGCTCACCTGCCGGACGCCTCCTGCCTCCTCCCTGCACCTGGAGACACCTGAAGTTGGAGCTCACAGTGGAGCAGGGGAGGGGACAGTGCCTGTGCCGTGGCCACTAACGTGACCATCATCTCGTGGCAGATTCATCCTAAGAGAGTCGTCCAGTGCCCTCTTAGAGCTTTGATCACATCAGTGTCCTGCTCCAGAGCTGGTCCAGGGGTGAGGTGGGCACTCTGCTGTTCTTCTAACTGAACCCGTTTCTTCCTGCGACAGCTGAGGGCTCAGGTGGGAGCCGACTGGGGGTCTGCGGCAGGTGCAGCCTCTCCCTGCTACATCCCTGAGTCCACAGTCTTGCTCTGGGTCACTGTGGTCCTCCTGGGTGGTCAGGAGGATGTGTGTTGGGAGGAGATGTCCCAAAGGCTGGGCCGAGGCGTGTGGGGGTGTGGGGTACGGGGCTGTCCTGAGACCCCCAGGCTGGGCTGCCTTCACCTCCCACCTGGAAGAGCAGGGGCCGAAAACGGCGGCTCCCTCCCTGAAGCAGAGCAGGCTGCTGACCAGGCCCTGGGACCCGGCAGGTGCTCTCAGGTCTGCGTGTCCCCACCTGGTCATGGAGGTCGCTTTGGGAAGCCCATTCATGCCACAGTCCAGCTTGGTCTCCATCTGGCCCTGGGAAGCGCCCATTGTCATCTTCATGTTCCACGTCATTCTTGTGTCTCCTGCTGTCACAGGGGAGGCCGGTGACCCGTCAGAGCCCGTAACCCCACAGACACTCCCTGCAGTTCAGAAGGGCCCCACAACGTCTTCTGTGCAGTGCCCTCTGCATGTGACCAGTTCACAGTCAGCTGTTGTATGTTGGTGCTTTTCACGTGGGGGATCCTGGGACCTGGAACTGAAAGGTTTTAGGGGAGTCATCTTCGGGCGGGGGGCGCAGAGCCCTGGGAAGCCCTGATCTAG